TGATTAAGGCTGCCAGAGGACCTCTTTAAAAGCCTTCCCTGTGTGGGAGGGAGAGGTGACCTGATGTGAGTGAGGACTGATAGAGGTGGAGTTACTATTGATAAGGAATGGAAGGCTCTGACAAAGACAACAACAGTTTTTGCCAAGAGAGGGGCAAGGTGAGGAACTGTAACAGGAAATGTTTGATCTCCCTTCCCCAGCAGAGAAGCCAGGAGGTAACTGGGGAGGACTGGTAACCCAGCCCAAGCTGACAGTGATTTTACTAAAGAAAGAGGTAGGCAAAACCTGTGCTGCAGTACCTAGACAGGAGATTGTGGACTGAATATGGGTCTGGGGCCCAGGAGTAGGACTGACCCTGTCACAGCGGTTGACTAGTTGATGAAATTTCCTTTGACTAATTGATATGCACTTCCACCTTCCTCCTTTGAAATGTACAGGGACTCTTGTACATTTCAAAGGAGGAAGGTGGAACTCTGCGTACAGCCCGGGGCCAGGGGGAATTTCCACTGACTTCAGGCTGCACGTGGGTGCCCACTTTGAAATACACAAGAGACCCCGTGGCAATTCAAAGGGGCAGCTGCTGTGGAGGCCAGGCTCAGGTGGGGACTCACCAGCTGACACCAGGTCCTGGGGAAATGCAGCCAGGAGCCTGGGATCAGCTGGCAAATCCCCAGCTGACCTCAGGCTCCACAGCTGCCCCATTTGAAAGGCACACAGGTGGCATTTTAAAGTGGCAGCAGCCACACAACCTATTGAAGATCAGCTGTGCAACGTCTGCCCCTATGAAAAGCTGTCATGGGCTAGGTCTACCCTCTGCCTATCTTGCAGAAGAAGACATGCAAATGAAGTGCTCATTAGCAACTTCTTACGCTTCATTTGCATTTCCTCTTCCGCAAGATAGGCAGAATGTAGATGTAGCCTGTGGGTTTCAAAATGGCAGTGCCATTTTATAGAGGCATCAACGAAGTGAGGTAATTGACTTGTTGACCAGTCAACATACTGTCCGATAAGCAAATGCTTATCAGATAGTCAACTAGCGTTTTACATCATGAATGTAAAAACAGCTCATGCTGGAATAGGAAAGAAATCCTGGGTGTGGTTATGTAATTCAATGTCAGCTAGTGCTATACGCATGATGGATGATCAATTGTTAGAATGGATTTTTGCCTATTGTAATTAATTTGGCTGTTGTGTGGACAAGAAGAAAGTTAACCCTAAATGTAGGAATTGGAAAAGATGACAGCAGTGCTTGCAGGATCGATATTGTCATTGCAAAAAATCTGGGATGGATGAGCCTTTTTATGTAATTCAATGTCAGCTAGTGCTATACGCATGATGGATGATCAATTGTTAGAATGGATTTTTGCCTATTGTAATTAATTTGGCTGTTGTGTGGACAAGAAGAAAGTTAACCCTAAATGTAGGAATTGGAAAAGATGACAGCAGTGCTTGCAGGATCGATATTGTCATTGCAAAAAATCTGGGATGGATGAGCCTTTGGGGGGAGGGCAGGAAGGAGTTTGAAGCAGCAGGTTAAATGTCCTCCAAGAATGAGCTATAAGAGTAGTTCAATCTGTTTCTCCCCTAAACATTCCTGTTCTAATGACAGAACTATATCAGACTCCATAAGTGGTCTCTGGATTTTCTGCTCACCTCCACTGTGGGTTGAGAGTTTAAATCACTAAGATCTGAAATCACAGAGCTATAGCACTAACTTTGGCCCATATCCAAACACACTTACAGCAGGTAGTCAGCAAGGTGGCTGACAGAAGCACACAGCTGGCCAGTGGGAGTAACAGCCGGTGGCCAGCTGAGCAGCTGGCAGGACCACATGGCTGGCAAGGGGCCTGTGGGAGAAGGCAGCATTCAGCTTGCAGGAGCAGTGGCAAGTGGCAGACAGAGTAGTTGAGATGTCCCCGATCCCCAGCCCACTCACAGGTGGGAGATGAGGTCTGAAAATCACCTCAGAGATCTGGTCCAACATGACCAAGGGAGGCAACTGTGAGAGGGGGACAGAAAATGCTTGGGCATGTGAATGGTACACTTACATTGCTGGACTTGTGAGCCTGAGGGGCAAAGGTCACTGCTCAATCCATTTGATATTGGAAGTTTAACCGTGGCGTTTTCCCAAATTAGTGCCATGTTAGTTCTCTCCCTCCTTTATTGAGGCTATGTCTAGAATGCAGACTTGTATCAGAAGAAACTTTTCCAAAAGAGATCTGAAAACTTCTTCCCAAAGAGAGCATCCACACTGCCAAAGCACATGGGAAAAGATGAATGGACTTTATCTTGCATTTAAGCTGTGATTACTATGGATGAGATGGCCACCGGGGCACTTGTGCTTTTTCCTCTTTCCTCCTCTTTTGAAAGAACTCCCTCCTCCCTGTCCACACACACCTTTTTCTGAAAGAGCAAACATGTTCCCTGGATACACCTTTTTTTTCCGGGATAGCTGAGTTATCCCGGGAAAACTATGCAGTATATACTTAGCCTCATAGACACCCTGGAGTGTGTGTGTGAAGCTAAGTCTAGCTTATTATGATTGTTTTCACAGAAGCAGCTTTCCTGCCATTTGGCCCACTGTAGATGTGGCCAAATGGGAGGGAAAGCCTCCTCTTTGGGAGGAGCCCTTATTTCACACAAAACGAGGTATGCGTATCCTGGAAAAACCTGCCAGTCTAGGCATACCCTGAATTTTGCAGATAATGGAGTAGGTGCTCAAGTCTATTATGTGGATGAAAAGGAACCCCTAGCTATTTAACCTGTCCCTGGCAGCTGCTAGCACTATCTAGCAGGATTACACAAATAACGTAACAGCCTTCAAGAATGTAGCAAGTATGACCATAATAACTCAGGACAGGAATGGTAAAACCAGAAAGATGTGAATAAAAAGAAAAGGTGGTGTGATTGGACAGAACGCATTCTGAAAACAAGAGAGCACATTTGGAAACACAACTCACCTGCCATACTGATGTAAACACTGGTAATTTGTGGCCTGGTATAATGTTTTAGGAGACTGATATCTGCTGATATCTGGAAATCTGCTGAATCATACATAACAAAGCTGTAAACATATACATTTTTTTAATCACAGACAGTTAACCCTCCAAGATTTTTCCACCCATGAGCAGAGTGAGTTTTGTCTTATACAACAGTATGTTAAACAATAATATGTCCCTTCTTGCTTCAGCCACCATTCCAGAGGTCATGCTGACAACAGGTTTTAGCAAAACACTTTTCCTGGCATTTTACATATATTCTTGTGCTGTAAAATCAGTAGGAGTTATGCTGATTTCTAGAAATTGGCTACCTAAGGCACCTAACAGCACCTGTTTTGGGATAGTATTCTCCCACTATTGCTCAAGTGGAACAATGTAGTAGTATTAGTTGGATGACTATAATGTTGAGAGACAATGACCAAAAAAAATTTCTCTGCCAAAAGACTTCTCAAACAGGTCCAAGCAAGCAGGACTGAGCATCTTATTAGAGATGAAGTA